AATCATCATTGTCTTTGGCAATTAAGCAAAATGAATAAGTAAATGAATGAATGAGTGAGTGACTGAATGGATGAGTGAGTAAGTGTATGCATGTCTTAATAATTTCTCAACTCTAATTCAGAAGAAATTAGAAATGGGTGCGGGTGCGGCAACGCTGGTCCCCTCTCTAGATCTTTGCGGCAAGATTGAACTGTAGGGCGTGGCAGTGGTGTGCTGTGGCGCTGCACCATCAGTATGTGTGTGGCAGGCAAAGTGCACAAACAGTTAAATGCTAGATTGCAGTCACAGAAACATGCAATTGCAGGCCCTGGCACTGCCACTGGCACTGGCACTGGCACTGGAAAAACAATTGAATCTATGAATTATGAAATATTTTAACTCTAGCAAAATGCTCTTCCCCCCCTTCAGTGGCTCTGTGTAGCTCCCTTATTAACTAAGTGCCACGCACCTTGGGAGTCAGAGTCGCAGCTGGGGAGAAAACTAAGAGGAAAACACGCCCATTTTATTTTCCCATTTCCAGCTTCATGCATTTTTAATTCCCTTAATAGCTTTTGTCGCTCTAGCTCTAGAGCCAGGACCCGGAGCCAGACATTGATGGACCAGCAGAAGCCACAAGCAACAAAAATTAAAACACCAAAAATTCTGTGTACTCTACCGCAGGCCGCAGGTGTCCCGGCGGCCACAGGATGCAGATTAATTCCACCGGAGCAGGACGCAGAAACAGGGGCAAGACAAGGGCCAGGGGCAGCTTCATGGATGGCCTGTAAAAAACTCACCCAAAAAAGTTTTCCCACCTGGGTCGCATCTGCTGGCTAAAACTAAGCGCAATGTGTCCTCCATCAAAATTAATTACCAAAAGGAGCAAAGCAGCGGCCACCATGGTGCAAGGCCAATTGTCAGTTGCGGTTGCCGGGGCGCAAAAGTTAAAAGGGGGCGACTCTGCCACCCATAACCCATCGCCATACAGACCTCCGGCCAGCGCTCATCAGTCAACACTTGCCTAACAGTCTCCGAAATGATAAATTGCCACCCCCCTCGGAGGACCGAAGGACGATGCCACTCGACGCGCATTTTGTGGCAGTCAGCGGGGAAGTCTATAGATAATTTGTTGTATACTTTGGGGCGCTGGCTCGAAAAAACAAAAATTAGATTGAAACATCAGATACTTCGAACAGAGAACCAATAATTAAAAGCTATGATAAAGTTGGCAGTAAATAAAAGACAGCTATAGAGTCGGCACTAATTGACTGGATTCCAGAGCAAACCACGGTGAATTGATTATTGTCAATAACATAACAAAGTGCATCTTGATAAAATTTGTTTAAATTTTAATTTAAGTAAGATTATTCAATAAAACGTATCCGTGGCTTTAACAGTCTTAGAGTCATCCTCTAAGTTACCTCAAAGTGAAGAATTTCGTTTAATTCACACATCTATATAACTATATCCTGAACTTCCACACAGGGCAATAGATTTCGTAAATTTTGTAATTCCACAAAAAGTGTGAATGCTGAAAATTCCTGCATCCATTGTCGCATCCTTCAATCTGCAAACCAGCGACAGCGCAACTTTTGGAATGCGAATTTCTCATCGCATAAATCCTCCGAAGCACGAACAATGCAGCTGAAAGGATAATGCCAATGCAACTGAATGCAAGGGAAGCCAATGAAAGGATATTGGGATGGGGTGTCGTGTGGGAGTGTCGTCTGATTTATTGGCTAATGCGCATTTCATGCCCTCGGTGCCCTCTCGGCGGCGACACCAGAAGTTGAGGCCAAATTAATTAACAACAAGGCGAACGCATTGCATTGTCTGTTGACGCTGACGTTTCGCGTTGTTGGTTTTTAATTAAGGAGATGAATGCAAAACAAAATCAAAATTAAAGTGATTTACGCCACAGATAAAAAACACACCACGAAAAAAAACGAAAGCGAAAGCCTGCTTTAATTATAAACAAATACGAGAACGATGTAAAGCCAATGATAGAATAAACAAATAATTAAGAGGCGGCAAAGTTTGGAAGTCGCTTGGGGGTCGATTTGTTGTATACTCGTACAAAACATTTTCCTGTCAATATTTGCCCTCCAGACAGGGGATGTCAACTGAAAGTAGAACTTTCATGGAGGTGGAGCAGTGTCTGACAGTGTCCTGTTCGAGATAATGTCACACATGACTGCTTCTGGGTGGGTTTTCGATATCCCCTCTTTAAGTCTTCTGTCTGAGTTTCTAATTAAAAATGTAAAACATACAACATATAAATAGAATACACATTCGTGGGTGACAACATTTCATGTTGGCTTTTGCACTCTGACCATGGGGGTTAATAAATGAATGGCATAACTGCCAATCGTCAGAGCGCTCCTTTTAAGCGGGTAAACAAGGATCAACTTTGGCAATCGTTCTTGAAATAAATTTTAGAGTTTTATCATGGCTCTAATTACTGATTTACCTCCTATTATATTTCTGCACAAAAATATATGAAACTTCTATGCCTCCTGTGAGAATTGAACTCACGGCCCCTGGTTTACAAGACCAGTGCTCTGCCACTGAGCTAAGGAGGCTTGCTTGAAAAGAACGCACCATCAAGCAATATAAAAGTTAGCTTCAGAGGCAGTAGCATCTATTGATTTTAGATAAAGTGGCAGTAGCTCCTACCAAACAAAAAACGTCTTCCAAACCTTATCTTGACCGTGTACGAGTATGTACATATCTTTCCGAATAACAGAGACAACAGCAGACTATTATCACTCCATTGATAACCTTTCAAGTCAAACATCTGTCTAAACACTGACCAAATCGTCTGCGCAATGCTTTTCAGATTAAATTCATTAACGAAATGTATCCCCTCTGTAACATATAGCTTCTAAAAAGTATAGTATATATACATAGTATCAGTCCTATCAATTTTAAGTACGAAGCCCATTTCTGTGACGACTTTTGCTCAATTCCACAATTCTTGCCTTAATTCCCCGGAAATTTAAGACCCCAGTACTCCAGCAAAAGTCCAAAACAAAAAAACAGGAAAAAAAAACTTGGTTTAGTTAAACCCCCAAGCAGATTTTTGGACCGCTTAATCCTTCCAGACGAATGCGCTGAAATTATTTATTATGACGCAAAACTTTTTTTCCGATGTCGCAGTGCAACGCGTACCGTACCGCGTTATCTCCTGGCCAAAAGAGCAAAGGGTCTCGCACTGGCATCCGCTGAACACAAACACTGTGTCCACCACCCACTGCCACCACCGACTTTTCCAGAGAAATGAGAAAACAAAAAATGAAAGTTGCTTCGGAAAAAATCCCCACCACAAACAGAGCTTTAAAAGGTGTGTACCCAAATAAAATCGCTCGTAACTGGATTTTTCGGCTGCAGCCACTTCAAAAGAAACAAATCTGTTCATTTGGAAGAATCGAATAAAATGGGATAATGTTCCCAAAACGAATGAGCTTTGCAAAACGATTAACTCTTAATAGAAAAAACGGCCTCGCATTAAATGGGTCCATGTTAACTATAAATCGAAAAAGGCAATTTTCAATCATTCCTGCTTAAAATTATTTGAATTCTAGCTTCGACTCGCCGTTTAAAACACTTGAAAAAACCTGATCGCATATTAACCCTTAATGGAAAAACGTACTTTGCAGTCAGTCGCTTTAAATAATTTGAATTTACAGAAGATGTCTTGCCTAAAGTTTGTTTTACTCAAGTTTTACAACTTACGTACAGTTGCTCCTCCTGTTTGCACTGTTGCGAGTCCTTGCCCGGGGTCAGGGGGATACCAAACGGTACGACGTTGGGCGTGGAATTTCTTTAGTGTGCAAAGAGAGTGATTGAGTGAGAAAAGGCTAAGAAAAGATGGAGTACCCACCTGTCCTGCGAAGTAAGCGTCTGGGGCCGGTCCGAAATGGCCGCATCATCCGCGCTGGTCATGTCCTCTGCTGCGTGCCCATAAGTTGCCCATAAAATGTACAAGCTTCCATTTTAATAAAAATTCTGAAAAATTGAACGCTGGAAAGAAAATGTATCGATACGGTAAACGAGCAGATATCGTGTAATCTAAACAACCAGTGTGACCGTTTACGGTATCTTAATCAAATTCAAATAAATGTTAATTAATTTGAAACTTTTAATTGCAGAAAATGTTTAATAAATCCGATAATTATAGAAACTGACGAGGCCAGAGCTGGGAAATGGCTAATTTACCTTTGGGCAGCACTTTGCGCGGAATGAAAATGTCAAGTTTATTTCCAGTATTCAGTGTTGGACGCGTATGCACATACACGCTTTCACAAGAAGAAGAGGAGAAAATTCTCTTTAATTACGTACATCCTGACAGCCATCCTTCTGATTATATCGGCGGTTTAATGGTATTTGATGCATTGTAAGTATGTCAGGTCCTTGGCGAATTCTTTTACCCTAGCTTTCTTTCAGGGACAAAGCAAATGAATTCTCCACTAAACAATATTGGGTGGGCGCATATTTTTCGTAGCCGGATTAGGACTGTTCGCCTATCAATTGCATATTTGACATCGTTATGGTAAGAAGATCTAGCCTTATATATATATATATATATATATATATATACTAGTGTTGGGTAAACATTGCTCATTTTGGGGAACATGTTCACTTGTTCTTGTAAGTGAGTCAACTCACTCATATTGCTCACTTGTTCACCTAGATTGCTCAGTTGCTCATTGCTCACTTAGATTGCTCAGTTTTCACTATTTATATTGCGCAAAAAGTGAGTAGAGAACAAGTGACCAGCAAAGAACAAGTGAGAAAAAAAGAACAAGTGAACAAAAAAGAACAGCTTGGAAGGAACATGTTCAGTTGCTCACTTAAGTGAACAACTCTTTTTTGTTCAATCACTCATGAGCAACTAGTGTTGTGTTGTGTTATGAAAGAACTATCGATATATATAGCAACGATATACCACCGCGGCTTCCAACACAGGCTGCATTTTTCTTTGCACATGAAAATAGAAAGTTTATTCAAATTTTGTGACAATGCCGCTGGATCAGGTGATATCAGAGCTTGTGCGCAGCAATTGCCTCAGTGTGGTGTTGGTGAAATCGTTGGACCTGTTCAAGCCGGGCACAATCACCAGCGACAAGGAGAATGAGGATGTCATCAAAAATATTGATATTAGTCCCAGTGCAATATTCTGGATCGAGAAAAACACCCAGCACCGCATCCTAGTGGGAGAATACTTCGATTTTGAGAATGTTAATGAGGCCAGAGTACTCATAGACTGCATTTTTCTCAACCTGAAGCTGTGCGAAACAAATTTTGGGCGTCTGATGAGCCAAACGGTAAGGGTGGAGATCAAGGGTTTGCGCATTAACCTGGTCGCCAACAAGCCCTTTTCGCTGCACTGCAGCAACTGTGCCAAAGAACTGAGTCAGATGCGAGCATACCGTCTCGTTGCTCCGCTGCCCGGAGTCGCCATGAGAGTGCCACGGGACTGCTGGGATAACTTTGAGGTGACGAACTTTGCACACTTCGACCAGATTTACTACGGCCTCAATCAGATTGTGATGTCTGCCAATCACATAAAATTCGACACTGAAATGATCTACTGCCCTAGGCGTCGTCGCGTCTTGTGCCCCGGTTGCTCCAGGGTGTTGGGCACTTTCCTATCGAATGCCGTGTGCCTCCATGCGGATGCCCTGCGCATGGGTACTCGTGTGTCCCCTGCAGCTCCACTGGATTTCAACGAGCTTCTTGGCCACATCACGCCTACACAGCTGATGTTGCGACTGTTGAAACATGTCGACAAATCACGCCTGTTTCTGAAGACTGTGCGCCCCGATGGCCAGATTCATTACCTTCTCATGATGACGGAATTGAAGAAATTAACGTTTCTGCGCTCGAAACTATCGCTTTCTAGTAAGCTCGATCCGAAACCAGTCAATTTCCCGGATGGGGACACCAGTAGCGAGTGCGGAAACAGTACGGAGAGCAGCAGCGACGGCATAGAGAACGATGATAGTATGAACAGCAGCAGCTCTACCTCCATTGATAAAGATTCACCGAATCTCTCCAGCTCCACGCCCCGACCACCACGGAAGATGTTTGGGAAACACGATGGTCGCGAAACTGAACGCACCGCCTCCACACCGTATAAGCCCATTAACTATGTGTATCTGACACCTTATAATGGCTGCCGTGTTCAATATATCTTCGCCAGCAATGATTCAGAGCTACGCGATATTCAAAATACCGTCGACAACTGGCGCGACAATAATATGCGCTCCCTGCGTATCTCTTACTCGATGATGATCGACCTGGTCAGTGAACTGAATGCCAACGAACACATTGAGGCCGCACTGCAGAATTCGATGCCGCCCTTCCGCTCCCAACCGCACCGCTGCAGTCACATAATATTCGAGACCGACGAGGAGTTCTATGCCACACAGCAGCAACTGGATGAGGTCCGAGTCCAACCCACTCCGGATGAGAATTCTGAAGTCAATGAAATAATAGATTCTGATTCTAAGTAATTCTACTAATTAATAATCTCATAATTGGATTGCTTTTCAATATAAAAGGCTCATATTTGGTGAGCATTTATTCGTAAATCACAGGATAAATAATATAGAATAGTTTCAGACACTATAGCTGTCCCGGTTCATATTTTATTTATGTATATTCTTCATGTTATATGTATAAGAATGTTTACCCTGTAAAGAAACCCGTAACAAACCAAAAATAGACAGAAATTCGATGTATTTTTCCTATTTTTGAAAAATTTCTTTTAATTTATTTAAACTTTTCATTAAACATGTCTCCTTCTATAATTGAATGGCGTCATGGATTCTTCCTGAACAGACCCATAAAACTGTTCCTCAAGCACTGATTAACCCTTTTCCTGTATTTCCTTTTGATATTTTTATAATTTCTTGGCATATTTTCTTAATTGTCTTGTTGTTGTGGCAATTAGTAAAGATTTAATTGCGGGCAAATCCTTATAAATATTCCAAGCAACCGATGCGGTTTATGGTCTATCCAACCCTCCAGTTTTTTGGGGCGGAGGAAATCAGGGTAAGGACTCCATCCTCCAACTTTAGGGCAGGAATGACCACATCATTAATCGTTGGCTGGTTAACGTACAACAATTTGTCCAAATAACAATTAAGGGCCCAATACCAAGGGGCCAACCCCCAACAAAGCAAACAAGTTAAGCACCCTAAAGGACATGGACACTCCCTCTGAAGGATGGTGGTATACAGATCAGGGAATCGTTAACAGCATTTGACAGTTGGCTAATGAAAATTCAAGGGAGTGAAAGTGTTGTGATTAATGATTTGGCTCGGTTTTAAATTTCCCCTGCGTTTAAATTTCTCTGTAATTCTGGATCCTAGAATCCATCTATTATATATGCACTCCCCGTTCCATTTTCCCACATGCACTTTGGTCCATTGTTCAGCACGGGAGTGAAATGGATTCCGCTGTGTTTTGGTTCTTTCTTTTTTTGGTTAGGACAACAATGACTTTCAGTTTGGTATATGAAAGATTTTGTTGCAGGTGGAAACGAAATGGCTAATGGAGATGGGATTCGGTTCTATTGTTGGGCCAGCCTTTGTCTGGGAGCGGTTCCATCATAACTCTTACCCTCTATAAATACTCGTAGATACTTTCTAGAATTACAGAAGTGCATAGAGGTTATCTGTGTGTGGAGAGAAATTCCCCAGCAATTGCCAATAATTAACATAATGAAGCCATAAATTGTGCAAATGGAAGAAAGTCCAATGACACTAAATGGACCCCACCCTATGCCAGAACATCACCATAGATTGGATGGGGAGTGAAATACTTCTAGAGAAAGCATGCGAAATTAATATCAACGCCCCGCTTCGCCTCATAAATTAATTTTCAAGTGCATCGTCGCAGCGCTTCAAAGTTCGAAGGGAGAAAGTTCCCCCCATAGACGTTCTCCTAGGGAAAGTATATCCATATGGCTGGACCTGGTGGTCGCTTCTTTGGTTAATTACCAAGATGTATGCGTGTCGCGCGCACCACAGACCAATTAACCCCCATTATGGTCAGCTTTGGAGTCGGAGTGCCAGTGACAACACTCCACACTCATCCAATCATCTCGTCCTGGTCCTGGGTGAGGTCAAGCGTTCGCTGAGCCTAGCTATGGCTCTGGCTATGGCACTCGCTCTCCCCAGCAATTAAGATTTCCAAGAGCAACAAGCACACACACACATCCCACAAAAAAGACGCAAAACAAACTCATTTCAGGACTGGATCCAAATTGCTTTATGATGTTGCAGATTATGATAATGAATGATGCCATCTGGACCTGCACTTGGTGGCACTCGAACACTGACCAGGGACTATGCCATGTTGACACTTTAAGTGATTTAATGTTATTGTTTTCGTAGCTTCCCTTCTACCCCCTATATCACTCGCTACTCTCCTCCCACCCGCATTCACAACTTTCGTGCCACAGAAGCGTGCATAAATTTAATGAATATTAATGAAATTTGTTGTTTTTTCGAGGTTTTATAATTGAAACGGTTTTGTTACTAAAGTTTTTGCATACAAGTTTTCAAAAGTTCGCCCAAAAACCATTGAAGTAACTAAAATGTACAGTTTTTTTTATTTTATTGGCTCTTATTATTGGTAAGAGAAAAAAAATTACTGCTGTATTGGTTAAGGCCAATAATTGATATTTTTAGATATTTCAAGTGGCATGATTTTCTGCTTTTTTATTTTTTGTGGAATGTTTTTTAAAACTTTTTGCCGGTGAAAGCCATCTCTCTTAGAGAGGTCATCAGTCGGAATGCTGGAAGGGACAGATTTTACTGTAAAAACATTCATATACCACTCCAAAAATAAGCCACATATGTAGGAAACTCAACCATATCTGTTAATTTGGAAACATAGGAAAGCTCTCCCTTTCCCCTTCCCATTCCCTATTGACAAAAAATACTTATGTATACATAAATGTAAATGATAGAAAACTCCACCTTTCTGTATGTCAATGCCCATAGGTAACTTGTTTCCAATTGAAAGGTTTTATTTAAAATGTATTTTTGACACAAACTTTTTCGCTTATCATTTTGCGGAACGGAAAGTCGAAATGTACGGAATATACACTGGTGTACGAGTATATATACATATATTTTTGTCAGTTTATTGACACAATTGTGAACAAATAAATCCCCAACTTCGGGCCACTGTGAATGCTGATTGCATATCTCTTTTTTGCGCACCCACCCTCTCCACTCTTTTTCGACTGCCCTTCTCCTTTTCGGTGAACTTCCATTGAAATGTTTTTGATTGGAAAAAATTTAATTTCCTATACGCTTCAACACTGCTTATCGCCGATGGATGCATTGTGTGCTATCCATCCCACAAGTGCGAAAAAAAATTGGCAGCCTCCCGACGATTTTAAATTTAAATCAAGTGTTTGGCTCAGCTGCTGGATATCTAAACTTTTTGCACACTTTTTTGGAGTTCTATCTGTCAGTACTGGTACTCCAATATGTACGTATGTATGTAAATATGTCAGAGGGGGTATGCACAAAAACCTCAAACCACAATTAATTAAGGCAAACGCTCTTGAGGACAACATCAGCACCAATATCGAAACATTCATTGAGAGTTTTTTTTTCTAGTCGCAAAAGCTTCAATTACGATTTTTCGATTTGCTGTACGGAGAAGAATCGCACTGCCAATTGTCAGAGTTATAACAAAAAGAAGAGAGAAAAATGTTCATTAAACGTTAGCTCTCCTTGGTGGTAAAAGCAAACCCAAGCTATATTTGCACCCTGTATTTATAGAAAACAAAGGGTATATGAGCTCCATTTGGTATTTGGTAGGTTTTACGTAGGTTTTAGAGTACAGGACATTTATGAATGGTGTGGCCAGGTAGTAGAAAACTGAATTAATGTATCTCCCTTAATCGAAACCACATTTTTTAAGATTTCGAACTCATATGGGGAAGATTTTTACATATATTGTATCTATTAAAAATCGCCTGAATCTGAACTTCAGCATATTGTCTAAAATCAAAATGAAATTGTCTTTTAGTGGCCTCTAAATTATTTCGTAGAAGGTATCCAAAAGTCGAAATCCTTGAAATTGCGTTTTTTTTTTTTTCCTTTGCATTCATACATACTCGTATTCGTTACTCATTCGCCGTCGCTTTTGTCCCAGGGACAATGGCGGAACCGCAGCGTAAGAGAAAGAGGGAGCGAGAACGCAGAAGGAGCCGCAGCGTAAGAGAAACAGGGAGCGAGAGTGCCAGAGGAGGAAAATTCATTTTTTCCATTAAATCGAGCCGTTGATTGTGCATGAAGCCTCATCGGGCGGGGGGCACAAATGTCAGGGGGCTCTTCGGTTAGATGGGGGCGTTGCGATAGGTTGCCATTTGGCAGAGCATCGGAGCGCCACCTTCACCTCATCCTTCCACGCTGAGTGCCAAAACGCATCGATTGTGCGGTTGACTCCCACGGGAGTGAATAACGGGGAGGCTTATCCTTTCGTTGAATGCTCTACTCTGAAAAAATAAAGCTTCTTTTTAATACACTTTATTCTTATCTGGTAGCACAAACTTTCTCTATCTGGTTTGTGCTTTCTTAGAAGATTCTTTCGAGGAACCAAGTACAGTTCATGTAGGTACATTGTATGTACCTCTGAGCTATTACTGCGTGACAATACGTATGTAGAACAGATGATCCAGAGCCCATCCTGTCAACTGCCTTTCATCTGTAGTAGTGTTTTCTACAACCTAAAAGTGGAATTTACTATTCCCCACTTACAGAGACTTGGCAATTCGTTGAGATCTAGCATTTTTAACCGCTTGACAAACTTGTTCCTCCTCATGGATATTCGATACACTTGCAAATGGCTTTTTGACAAACAATGACATGGACGGACTCACCTACGATTGCGGCCACATTTTCTTTTCCTTTTTTTTTGTCGTTGTTCTTGTTCTTGTGATTCCCCCTTTTGTGATCGCATTTGCAAATGAATTGCTTATTGACAGTTTGATGGAATGATTCCCTCGTTGCCTCGATTGTCGATTGCCAGACTTTTGTTATTCTTTAATTATGGCCTTGCCACAGAGCGAAAGAAAAAACAGAGGATTCATCAGAAAGCAAAAAGGATGAGGATTTCTGCGAGTTTTATATTATTTTTCCCATCAAAAATGTTTGTATTTGACAGTTTTTTGTAGCACACTTTTAGGAGCGCACTAAAAGAATATGAGTACATTAAAAAATACTTTAAGAATCCTTAAAAAACATACATTAAAATGCAATTTTAAAGTGGTTTCAATTCGCCACAAAGTCACTTCCGGTTGATTGCGTTCTGCAGAACCCTTAAAAATGTCATGCAACATTTTCCCTATCAGTGCTCCTGCCTTCAATTGAAGTCGCCTCCAGCAATTAACAACTTTCCTGTTCCTGGTGGAACACAGATCTTCTCATGTATGCAAAATCCATTAAATCACTCGAAAAAAAAACCAGAGACCAGAGGAGAAGGGAAG